ATAGTTTGCTCTGGAGCCCTCCTTCCTGAGCTAAGACCAAAATGTCTGAGCTGGAGGCTAAAAAACTGGGAGCTAGCTCACACTAACTCAGCTTAGAGGGAACACTGGGGAGCACCTGCTTTCACAGAACATCCACCTATCATAGAGGCTGCCCATTGCAACCCTGTGTGATTCATAACTTTTCGCCTTGCCTGCTTCTAACCATCCACCTCTGGAAAGGGGCGGGGGGGAGCACAAGGAATTTGGCTACAGCTGTCTGCCAAGTGTGTGCCTGGATCATACAATCGCTCTTGTCATTAAGAGGTTGCCCCTTGCATCTCTTCATGAGTCACTGCGCGGGAATCGCATCTGCCAATTGGAAGGCATGTCTGGAACGGTGAAACAGAAGGTAGCTTGGACTCTTTCAGACTCAGGGGAGGGGGACCCTGTTTCTACAGTACAAACCAGCCATTACAGGGGACAGGTGAGAACACTGCTCCCCTCTTCCTTTTGAAAATGACCATCACCCGTGGGAAGAAGAGACTGGATTTGTACCCCACCCTTCACTTCGGGGTCTCAGAGTGGCTCACAATCTCCTTTCCTTCCCCCTCCCCACAACAGACACCCTGTGAGGTAGGCAAGGCTGAGAGAGCTCTCCCGAGGACTGCCCTTGAGAGAACAGCTCTGAGAGAACTGCGACTGACCCAGGGTCACACCAGCAGCTGCATATGGAGGAGTGGGGGGGGTGTCAAACCCGGTTCTCCAAGACTAGAGTCCACCCTCTTAACCACGACATCAAACCGGCCACCTGTATGAGCAAAGGAGGAAACCAAAACAAGATGGGCGATAACTTCAGGGGCTCCCCTCGAAGACTGAGGTTGGATCTCAGGAGCTCCGCACAGGAAGCAGGAAACCGCACCGGCGCTTGCTGAGGATCCTCCCGTTCCCAAGGAGGGATGTTGTCAAGGCTGGGGGATCCCAGGACCCCCACCCCGCCCCGAGTTGCCTCTCTTCAGATCTCCTCAGGCAAATCTCGGCTTGCAAGGACAGCCAGAATCCGGAAAGGGAACCTTGGCAGGAGCTTCAGAGCAACAGCGGCTGCCAAAGGATTCTGTATCCATGCACAACAGGGGAACTCCGTCTCCTCCCCTGTCTGCAGAGGCCGGCTCGAAGGCAAGAGTCAGCCTGCAATGCTCTCCCCCCCCCCCCCCGCCCCCGCCCCGTCTGCATCAATACGCCAGCCAAGGCCAGAGGAGCGTAACCACTTGTTCACGCTGCCCTCAAGCCACTCATGTGCGGTTCCGACGGTTTGGATGTTTACTTCGAGGCCAGCCATGTTTCAGACCTGCCTCTAGTATACCCTGGCTTGACGCTGTGCAAACCCCACAACCACATCGGGGAAGGGCTGTGGCTCACTTGGCAGAGCCTCTGCTTGGCACGCAGAAGGTCCCGGGTTCAATCCCCGGCATCTTCAGGTAAAAGGACCAGGCTGCAGGGGATGAGAAAGACCTCTGCCTGAGACTCTGGAGAGCCATGAAGTGGGGCTGTAGCTCAGTGGAAGAGTGTCTGCTTGGCATGCGGAAGGTCCCAGGTTCAATCCCCGGCATCTCCGGCTGAAAGGACCAGGCAGGAGCGAATGGGAAAGACCTCCGCCTGAGACCCTGGAGAGTCACGAAGTGGGGCTGTGGCTCAGTGGCAGAGCCTCTGCTTGGTATGCAGAAGGTCCCAGGTTCAATCCCCAGCATCTCCGGCTGAAAGGACCAGGCAGGAGGGGATGGGAAAGACCTCCGCCTGAGACCCTGGAGAGTCACGAAGTGGGGCTGTGGCTCAGTGGCAGAGCCTCTGCTTGGTATGCAGAAGGTCCCAGGTTCAATCCCCAGCATCTCCGGCTGAAAGGACCAGGCAGGAGGGGATGGGAAAGACCTCCGCCTGAGACCCTGGAGAGTCACGAAGTGGGGCTGTGGCTCAGTGGCAGAGCCTCTGCTTGGTATGCAGAAGGTCCCAGGTTCAATCCCCAGCATCTCCGGCTGAAAGGACCAGGCAGGAGGGGATGGGAAAGACCTCCGCCTGAGACCCTGGAGAGTCACGAAGTGGGGCTGTGGCTCAGTGGCAGAGCCTCTGCTTGGTATGCAGAAGGTCCCAGGTTCAATCCCCAGCATCTCCGGCTGAAAGGACCAGGCAGGAGGGGATGGGAAAGACCTCCGCCTGAGACCCTGGAGAGCCACGAAAGCTACTTAAACTGAAAACCACTGAACTTTCTGGCCACTGTCTCTCCTTTCTCACACTGCTTCGCCTGGTTTCTCCCCTTCACTCACTCACACACACTAAGTTGATCCTTCACTTCACCTAACAAAGGCTGGCTTGCCTTGAACATTCCGAGACTGACAAAAGAGTTTGCAACAGCTGGGGGGGGGATGTTTATAAACATTCCGTGGCTGCCACAAATACTTTCAGTGCATTATAAGTTCAAGATGGACTCAGATGTGTAGACACAATGGGGGTTACAACCCTGCACCAAGCGTCCCAGTGGCCGGCGCACAAGAGCAAGTGCTTTACGCTTGTAAGTTCATGAAAGAGGGTGGCCAAAATGCTCGCTGAGGTCCAGAGGCGGGCCGGTAACCAGTTTCCCAAGGACTGGTCGGTTCTCGACATACAGAAAAAGGAACAACCTGTCTCTGCGGACCCTCATCTCCAGCTTCCTTTTCTCTCCGCTGAAGCTTCCTTCCTGGAAACGCTAAACATCCCCCC